GCAGACAGAAATGACACTCTTTATAGAGAATAGCACACACACTTTAGAGGGATATGCTTTGTTCATATTTCATGTCTGAGGTTTACAACCAATTTTAATCTTCCAATAAACTGTACTGAATCTTTCAATCTTTTGCTTGGTTACAACTTTACATTCGACCAAACTTTGGTGATTGATTGAACTCATGGTTGAGATTGCTTACTTTTTCGTCATTACTTGGAATCGTATTTGCAATTCGTGGTGAGTGGTAATTAATTGAAATGGACTGAAATTGCTGGGTGTATGACCAGCTATAGCACTCATGTGTTGGAGAGTCATGTGGGAGAATATTCAGCCGCTAGTGTCAGCTAAAATGGAAGTCACTAGAGAAAATAAACTGACGTAGTCATTGAAATAGATTAGTCTGTTTCCATAAGCTCCAGAGACATTTTGGAGAGGGCAGGATGATTACTGGACATTGCCTCCCACAGAGTGTGGAATACTGGAAGTTGATGAGAAAGCATACAAGAACCCTCTCGGATGGAGGCAATAGTGCGATAGCTGAATAGGGAGGCCATGCACATAGCAGGAATGTTGGGATTCCATGTTCCATAATTGTATGTACACAGAACGATGCTGATACCATCAAGGACTCATCTAAATGTAGCTGCTCTCCCAAAAGCCTAAACTTTGCCCAGGCTGCCAATCCATCCAATCCAATCAGAAAGGTCCCATGAGCATCAATGCTGGAGATTGGAGATTTATTTAAGATAAAAGTACAAGTCCATAAGATGCATAGCTAACACAGTGACTCGTTTTTTTTTTTTTTTTGCACCAATAGGATTATGAAACGCTAAACGCATCTACGCATTAGTTGTGTCCCAATGGATTATGCCTCTAATAATCGATTGCATTGCTGCTTCTTGGACCTCCGTTTTTTATTGGATTGTTCCATAATTGGTTTATTAATTGGTCATGAACAATCTTCAGACATAATGTCAGACTATACGGTTGTTGAAGAGTTGATTAGGAAGACTGAATAAGCTTTGGTTAATGTTCTACTGAAAGGGCAAAGATGAACAAACATGGTGCAATGCTTCCCATTACATGGAATAATCTCTTGACATGCACTGAATGGTGGACTTGTATTATTGTGGAAAGAAGCTCATACGAGGGTCTGCTTGTCTTCTGCCAACTTTCACTGTCTTTCGTGTCTGGCCACAAATGTTCTTGAGTGTAGTAGGGCAGGTAGGTGATATTAATACAAGGGATGGACAAGTCTCAGGAGCCAGGTAGCCAGTACTCCTTAAAATTACATCTGACACCTGACTTTTGAGGTCTTCTTTAGTTGTTGTCCAGAAAGTTGGCTCCTGGATTGGACAGACTGGCTCCAGAACGCCACAATAATTTGTCCACCGCTGTATTATTAGAAGCAAGTCATTGCTGTGTTGATGACACGATTGACCAAAGTTTGGAAGTTATTGTTGTAGATTACAATCCTGTTCACCCACAATTTACCTCCTAAGTTATCTGTTAAATGCAGATATTACAGGGACCAGCAATCTGCTGCAGGCACTGTTTACTGTCCACTCAGCCAAATCAGAAAGCAGAGCTCCACGTCCTCATCAATGCACACCACGGGCAAAGAAACAATATTTGTAGAAACTTAAAGCAAAGGACACACAGCAACTATGTTACCAATCCACATACATTTAATCCAAATTGATATAATTTATTGCAACTTTATGCAGCACACTTTACATAGTGCTGCTGGTTGGGACACTTGCCCCATGATTCTGCTCTATCAACCTACAGTTGCAAGAAAAAGTATGTGAACCCCTTGGGACTACATGGAGTTTTGCATGAATTGGGCATAAAATGTGCTCTAAAACGTCATCCAAGTCACAATAGAAGAACACAGTCTGCTAAACATAATACTACACAAACATTAGATGTTGCCATGGTTTAATTGCACATAACACGTAAACATTCACAGTGCAGGGAGGAAAAAAGTATGTGCGGCCCTAGCTTAATGACTTCTCCCAGAGCTAATTGGAGCCAGGAGTGAGCCAACCTTGACAATCAGTGTGATGATATTGGATGTGTTGCTGACAGCTGTCCTGCCCTTAAAAAACACACACTGTTTTGGGTTTGATGGTCAAACCACTGTCTGATGTGAACCTCACAGAAAAGAGCGCTCAGAAGACCTACGATCAAGAATTGTTGACTTGCATGAAGCTGGAAAGGGGTTACAAAAGTATCTCCAAAAGCCTTGATGTTCATGTGTCCACGGTTAGACAGACTGTCTACAAATGGAGAACGTTTAGCACTGTTGCTACTCTCCCTAGACGTGGTCATCCTGTAAAAATGACTGCAAGAGCACAGCGCAGAATGCTGCATGAGGTAAAGAAGAATCCCAGAGTGTCAGCTAAAGACCTACAGAAATCTCTGGCACATGCTAACATTTTTGTTGACACATCTACAATAAGGAAAACATTAAACAAGAAGAATGGAGTACCGTATTTTCCGGCGTATAAGACGACTTTTAACCCCTGAAAATCTTCTGAAAAGTCGGGGGTCGTCTTATACGCCGGTGCGAGCCAGTGTCAGGTCGGCACTTTTTCGAGGGGTGGCGCCGCGCCGCCCCCCCCTCCTCCTCCAATGGACACTAAGTACAGGGGTGGGCAGAGGGGCTGCTGTCTCTTACCTGGCTCCGGTCCCACGACGATCCGGTCCAGGAAGCGCGGCTGTTCCTTCTTTCAGTTCGGCCGCTCGATGATCACGCGGCCGCTCGGCTCCGCCTCCTCATCGGTGATTGGGCGCCAGCACTGGAAAGGCACACAGGCGACCAATCACCGGTGGAGGCGGAGCCGAGCGGCCCCGCGAAAATCGAGCGGGCCGAACTGGAAGAAGGAGCAGCGCGCTCCTCTCCCCCACTGACACTAACGATGGGGCAATATTCCTCCTCCACTGATACCAATGATGGGGCACTATTCTCCCACTGACACCACTGATAGCAATGACTGACACCAATGTGGGGCACATATTCCTCCCACTGATACCAATGATGGGGGCACTATTCCTCCCACTGCCTCACTGATACCAATGATGGGGCACTATTCCTCCCACTGACACCAATGATGGGGCACTATTCCTCCCCACTGACACCAATGATGGGGCACTATTCCTCCACTGACCAAGCGAATGGGACACCAATGATGGGGCACTATTCCTCCCACTGACACCAATGATGGGGCACTATTCCTCCCACTGACACCAATGATGGGGCACTATTCCTCCCCCACTGACACCAATGATGGGGGCACTATTCCTCCCACTGATGAACCAATGATGGGGGCACTATTCCTCCCCCCACTGACACCAATGATGGGGGCATTCCTCCTGCCACTGATACCAATTGGGGCCTTATTCCTGCCACTGATACCAATGATGGGGCCTATTCCTCCCACTTGATACCAGATGATGGGGCACTATTCCTCCCACTGACACCAATGATGTGGGGACTATTCCTCCCACTCCTAGATACCAATGATGGGGCACTATTCCTCCCACTGACACAATGATGGAGCACTATTCCTCCCACTGAATACGACCAATGACGGGGGCACTATTCCTACCCCACTGATACCAATGATGGGGCACTATTCCTCCCACTGACACCAATGATGGGGGCACTATTCCTCCCCAATGACACCAATGATGGGGGCACTATCTCCTCCCACTGATACCAATGATGGGGCACTATTCCTCCCACACTGACACCAATGATGGGGCACTATTCCTCCCCCCTGAACACCAATGATGGGGCACTACCACTGATACCAATGATGGGGCACTATTCCTCCACTGATACCAATGATGGGGGCATATTCCTCCCACTGATACCAATGATGGGGCACACTATTCCTCCCCACTGATTCAATGATGGGGCACTATTCCTCCCCTGATACCAATAGATGGGGCACTATTTCCTCCCCCCCACTGACACCAATGATGGGGCACTATTCCTCCCACACTGATACCAATGATGGGGACACTATTCTCCCCACTGACCACCAATGATGGGGCACTATTCCTCCACTGACACCCAATTGATGGCACTGATTCTCCACCAATGCCATTATTCTCCCCACTGGCACAACCAATGATGATGGGGCACTATTCCTACCCACTGACACCAATGATGGGGGCACTATTCCTCCCACTGATACCAATGATGGGGCAGCTATTCTCCCCACTGACACCAATGATGGGGGCGCTATTTCCTCCCACTGACCAATGATGGGGCACTATTCCTCCCACTTGATACCAATGATGGGGCACTATTCCTCCCTCCCCACTGACACCAATGATGGGGCGCTATTCCTCCCACTGATACCAATGATGGGCGCTATTCCTCCACTGGATACCAATGACAATGATGGGGCACTATTCCTTCCTTCCACGGACTAGTCCCAATGATGGGGCACTATTCCTCCCACTGACACCAATGATGGGGCGCTATTCCTCCCACTGACACCAATGATGGGGCACTATTCGCTCCCACTGATGACCAATGATGGGGTGCTATTCCTCCCACTGATACCAATGATGGCTATTCCTCCCACTGATACCAATGATGGGCTATTCCTCCCACTGACACCAATGATGGGGCGCTATTCCTCCCATGATACCATGAATGGGCGCTATTCCTCCCACCACAATGATGGTGTTTGAGCTATTCCTCCCACTGATGATGGGGCACTATTCCTCCCACTGATACCAATGATGGGTGGCACTATTCCTCCCACTGACACCAATGATGGGACACTATTCCTCCCCACGCCCAATGATGCACTATTCCTCCCCCCACTGGACACCAATGATGGGGCGCTATTCCTCCCACTGATACCAATGATGGGGCACGCAATTTTCCCACTGATACCAACGATGGGAAGCACTATTTCCTCCCACTGATACCAATGATGGGACGCTATTCCTCCCCACTGACACCAATGATATATTCCTCCCACTGACACCAATGATGGGGCAATTATTCCTGCCACTGATACCAATGACGGGCCGACTCCCACTGACACCAATGATGGGGCACTATTCCTCCCACTGATACCAATGATGGGGGGTGCTACTGACACCAATGATGGGGCACTATTCCTCCCACTGATACCAATGATGGGGCACTATTCCTCCCACTGACACCAATGATGGGGCACTGATTCCTCCCACTGACTACCAATGATGGGGCACTATTCCTCCCACTGACACCAATGATGGGGCACTATTCCTCCCACTGACACTAATGATGGGGCACTATTCCTCACACACTGACACAATGATGGGGCACTATTCCTTGCACTATTCCTCCCACTGACACCAATGAGGGGGTGCTATTCTGTCAGTGCCTCACCACTGACGGATGGGGAATAGTGCTATTCCCCACTGACACCAATTGATGTCAGTGGGATGGGGGATTCTTCTTCCCACTGACAATAGTGCACTATTTCCTCCCCATCATGATGGGTGCACTATTCCTCACACACTGTGACAATGATGGGGCACCCATCATTGGTGTCAGTGGGAGAATAGTGCCCCATCATTGATGTCAGTGGGAGGGAATAGTGCCCCATCATTGGTGTCAGTGGAGGAATAGTGCCCCATCATTGGTGTCAGTGGAGGGAAGGAATAGTGCCCCATCATTGGTATCAGTGGGAGGAATAGTGCCTCATCATTGGTGTCAGTGGGAGGAATAGTGCCCCATCACTGGTATCAGTGGGAGGAGTAGTGCCTCATCATTGGTGTCAGTGGGAGGAATAGCACCCCATCATTGGAATACCATACTGAAATAGCATACCATATTGAAATCAAATCTGATGTTTTTTAATTTTTATTTGGTGTGCGTTGGAAGAGGGGTAGTCTTATACGGCGAATATAGCTCAAACCCTATATTTTAACAGGAAAAGTAGGGGGTCGTCTTATACGCCCAGTTGTCTTATACGCCGGAAAATACGGTACATGGGAGGACACCACGGAGGAAGCCATTGCTGTTCAAAAAGAATATTGCAGCACGCTTGAAGTTTGCAAAAGAGCACCTGAATGTTCCACAGCACTACTGGCAAAATATACTTTGGACAGATGAAACCAAGATTGAGTTGTTTGGGAAAAACACACAACACTATGTGTGGAGAAAAAAAGGCACAGCACACCAACATCAAAACCTCATCCCCACTGTAAAACATGGCGGAGGGAGCATCATGGTTTGGGGCTGCTTTGCTGCCTCAGGGCCTGGACGGATTGTTGTCATTGATGGGAAAATGAATTCCAGAGTTTATCAAGACATTTTGCAGGAAAACGTACGACCATCTGTCCGCCAACTGAAGCTCCGCAGAGGATGGGTGATGCAACAGGACAATGACCCAAAGCATACAAGTAATTCAACAAAACAATGGCTGCAACAGCACAGAATACACCTTCTGGAGTGGCCCAGTCAGAATCCGGACCTCAACCCAATTGAAATACCGTGGCATGACCTTAAGAGAGCGATTCACACCAGACATCCCAAGAATATTGCTACACTGAAACAGTTTTGTGAAGAGGGAGTGGTCCAAAATGACTCCAGATCGTTGTGCAGGTCTGATCTGCAACTACAGGAAACGTTTGGTTGAGGTTATTGCTGCCAAAGGAGGGTCAACCAGTTAAGTCCAAAGGTTCACATACTTTTTCCTCCCTGCACTGTGAATGTTTACATGTTATGTGCAATTAAACCATGGCAACATCTAATGTTTGTGTAGTATTATGTTCAGCAGACTGTGTTCTTCTATTGTTGTGACTTAGATGACGTTCAAAGCATATTTTATGCCCAATTCATGCAAAACTCCACGTAATCCCAAGGGGTTCACATACTTTTTCTTGCAACTGTACCTCTTATGCTACAGTGAGATACAGGGGACTCGGAATGAGGGAGCCACAAAAACTGGGGAAGCCATCAGCATGTTTTCACAAGGTCAAATTCAGGGTTGTTTGCAGAGAAAAAATACTACTAGGGATTTTGCTAGTGGGCCAGCCATTGTCACATGGCGAATTAATGTAACAGCTTGGAAATGAAGCCCACTAAGTTGGTCTTCTACAGGGTTCTGATAATTGTTTGGCACATCTCATTTCTATGTCAGACCCCCAGATTTTTGGCTGATCAGAGGGAGATTTGGAGATCCAGCTGCCTCTACATGATACACCAACACATCCAACATCTGAAAGTCAAACACAAAACTTATACAACCATCAAGACACAACCTGCCTGTACTGTTTTCAATCAGGCGACAGTAAAACGAAGGGCCGGACGGGCCTGGACCTGCTGCTTATAGCGGTGTGTCAATACATTATTATTAGCATAATCCAGTGATAATGGCAGGTATAAAACCTGTGTTCCTGCTATGAACTAATAGCTTTCACGCTACTGATTATGTCACACATCCATGCAACCATTGACAGGCAATGTGCCGTGCCTGATAGCTCATTCATAATATCTTACATGCCGTTCCAGTGACAGGCAAGGAAGTCCCGTCCCACACAACATGAAACAAATGCAGATGAACCACCACACATGGGACAAAACACGCTGCCCACATTGCAAGCAATGTCATGTATCGAGAGAGAGATAAGAGACAGGCAAACAGAAAGATAGCCACACACACAAAACATATAATTCTGATCGCTATCTACATAGACAGTTATGACACAGATTAGATCAGACACATAGAAACCAAGATATAGAAAGAAAGCAGACTTGCCAACATATACAGAGGACCAACAGAACCTAGCGAACACGTTTGCATACAAAAACAAAAAGAATGTAAAATCCCTCAATGATTAAACATTTTTGGTTTACAAATTAACATAACAATACACAACAAAGGATTCACAAAGCACTACGGGTTATCTACAGAGAATGTACAGTAATCATCTCCTCTCAGGCAGGCTAGAACATCGAATACAGAGTTGGAACTCATTACATGTCAAACAGCTCTGCCTGATAAAGGATGAATCCTTCTTGTGACTTATGCACTTGTGCAAGTTTTAGCTTGAACTATTGATCCCTATAAACATGCTAAAAGCAATGCTGGAAAGAAATAAGACAATAAAATCAATATGCAATATTTCATATATATCAGATTTAAAAAAAAACATTTTTGTCAAATATGTCGAGAGTGGATAATAAAAAACACATGCATGTTTATTTTTTTACTGGGTCATGAATAACACGATAATCGTAAATAAAATCCCTGTTTTACAGTTCCTGTTCTGTACATAAAAAGATAAAGATGCTACTGTTTAAGTTAGCCTACAAATTACGTTTACTGTAGAGGTACCCTACAAATTACTTTTCAGTGTCGGGGAGTCTTTGCTAATATTTACTGTATCTACAGCTCACAGTACATTAGTGTGATGATCCATGGGAAGAATGATTCTTACATTGGTGGTCAGTGGAAAGAACACTCATTGCATTGGTGATCAGTGGGAAGAATGTCTCTTACATTGGTGGTCATTGGAGAGAATGCTCCTTACATAGGTGTTAGTTTTGGGAAGATTTCCCTTTACATTGGTGGTCAGAAGTAAGAAAGCCTCTTACATTGGTGGTCATTGGGAATAATACCCTTTACATTGGTTGTTAGTAGGAAGAATGCCCTTTACATTGGTGGTTAGTAGGAAGAATGCCCTTTACATTGGTTGTTAGTAGGAAGAATGCCCTTTACATTGGTGGTCATTGGGAAGAATGCCCTTTACATTGGTGGTCAGAGGGAAGAAAGACTCTTACATTGGTGGTCATTGGGAAGAATACCCTTTACATTGGTGGTTAGTAGGAAGAATGCCCTTTACGTTGGTGGTTAATAGGAAGAATGCCCTTTACATTGGTGGTTAGTAGGAAGAATGCCCTTTACATTGGTGGTTAGTAGGAAGAATGCCCTTTACATTGGTGGTTAGTAGGAAGAATGCCCTTTACATTGGTGGTTAGTAGGAAGAATGCTCCTTACATTGGTGGTCATTGGGAAGAATACCCTTTACATTGGTGGTCAGGGGGAAGAATACCCTCCTTACAGATGGATCATAGGCGTCAGTGGTTTCCTATCTGTGATGCAGAAATTTTCTAACTCCTCAAGGAACCTAGAGCAACATCTAAGATCACACAGAATCTTGGTTAAGAAAAATATCAAAACATCTGACAATTCTATATTTTTTTCTGTATATGAAACAAAAATCTGCTATTAGCTCTAGTTCACACTGGTGCGACTTGTCAGGCGATAGGACAGTTCCAAATCGCATGACAAGTTGCACCCTATTTGTGCCTATAGAACAGTTCAAATAGGTGCAACTCTGACTTTGCGGTGCCACACCGATTTGGGAAAAAAGATTCCTGCACAATTTTTTTGTGATTTCATGTGCGACTTTCATAGTCAAGCACGTTGCACAGGAAATCGCACTGACCCACAACTGTGAAAAACCCATTTCAGATCACAAGAGGAAAGCTCTTCCAGTGAGTCACAATTGAGGGGTCCTGGTCATTGTACAACCTGCAATTCTAGACCAGTGCCATGGCATACACAGTACCTGGATGATCTCTAGCTGGGCTGATGAAGATCTGAGTGACGAATGTAGAGAGTCTTATGATAGAGTTGGCTAGTGTGTGCCACAAGGGGTTACTAAACACACTGTACAAAGCCATAGCAAAAGAATGCAAAAGAAAAAAAATAAATAGTAAAAGAAAAGACAGATAGCAAAAAAGACAACTAGATCCTCAGACCATGACTTCCGACATAAAATGAGGCATTAACTACTCAGAAAAAAAAAAAAATACATACACGTGCTCAAAGAAAGTACAAGCCACTTCAAAAAACATCCATGGTGTTAGAACAGATAAAAGCAACTACAAAAGTTTAGGACAATTAAAGAAATTAGAGGTAAGTTGAAGACAGAAGGAGATGCTGAAACCTTTCAATATGTATACGCAGCAAGCAGCTTCAATGCAGGCGATAGCGAAACACAGAAGAGGAGATGTGAAGGTTTTGTCTATTCCGGCAAAATACAAACTCTGAAGAGTGGAAAATTCATTTAAAGGCGTAGCCCTGGGTGGCCTCACCTCTGAAATGTTCTGCTAAAATATTTTGAGATTCCAAAACACCCTTTTGTGATATCCCAGGATCTAACAGAGTGCACTATGCATCAGCTGCACATTTTTCATAGGATTCACCCTTGAAGTGATTGTAAAGGAAAAAAAATGTAAAAAAAAAAACAAATAAAAAAAAACCACTACAAAAATTTTGCAGAGTAGCCCCAATCCTTCTCTTCTCAGGTCCCCACACTACAGGCGAGCAAGCTGCTTGCTATGGGGGCACTCATGTGTTCTCACTCCTGTGCTGGCCCTGTGAGTCCATAAGGCTTAGCCCCACCCCCTGCTCTCTCCTCACTGGCTGTGAAAAAAAAGATCTACTGTTGATTTCACCACTGTGTATATGCCCACACATGGGACTCTCTAGTCACTTGGGCTGCTCAGATGTCATAGGGAGGAAATTATCAGCATAGCAACTCACTGAAAACTGAGCATGTGCAGTAGCTGCCAACGCTACTCTACAAAATCCCTAACTGCAGTGGGGACATGATCAAAAGGGGGAGATAGAGAACAGCAGGATCAACCAGGTTTTTTTGTAGAATACAGGCAGCACAGTGGCTAAATGGTTAGCACTTCTGCCTGGCAGTATTAGGGTCGTTGGTTTGAATCCCAGCCACGGCACCACCTGCCTGGAGTTTGCATGTTCTCCCTGTGCCTACATGGGTTTCCTCTGGGTACTCCGGTTTCCTCCCACACTCCAAAGACATGCTGGCAGGTTAATTGGATCCGGTCTAAATTGGCCCTAGTATGTATATGTATGAATGTAAGTTAGGGACCGTAGATTGTACACCCCTTGAGGGTTAGGGACTGATGTGAATGTACAATATATATGTGTAAAGCGCTGCATAAATTGACAGCACTATATAAGTACCTGAAATAAATAATAAAAGGAATCTCATAGTGACTGATGAGTATGAACAGCATGTAATATATCATTCATTTATCGTTTTGTATGATGTTAAGTGACACTTTAATATTGATTTAGGTATATTTGTTAATTTTAGTATGGTTAAGATCATAGCAGCTCACAAGACACACATTGACAAAGATTTCAGCTCCTCTTTAGGGAAAATGGTGACAAACCATAAAAGGCCCAGAAAATCTAGAGAGAAGAATATCCACTGAACATGTGTGTTGTTGTACAAGACATGCTCTCCTTACGTGTAACCAAGGCTTGTATGTAAATATCATGAGAATGTCAGGGGTGGCTGGGGTGATGACAGCACATTAGTAAGACACAGTGGTGTAAAGTATGAGAGATAAGTGACACTGCACATGAATAGCTGCACAGTCACTAGACATTCCAGAATCAATTCAACACAAGCTCCAGGTGTGCTAATGACGTGCTTGTCCATAATGAGACGTTCACCAACCTCCACAACATGCACATGGGGATCTTACACTTTTTGAATTTTTAAGGTTGAGTAAGATCAGAAGAGTTTCTGTTATTGTCATCTAGTGATTGACAATGTGTTCCCACACAATCTGTGTGCACCTACCCGACTGGGGCGGACAGCAACTCCTAGCAGTAAGGTAACCATACACCACTTTTAATTTTGACGGCAAAATTTAGATTTAGTTTTAGTCATAGTCTTGACTAAAATGCCATTTTAGTTGTATTTTAGTCATCTGAATTGTTTTAGTAATATTTTAATCAACTAAAATCTTCAGTACATTTTAGTCGATTAAAATCGAATGGGTTTAGTTAAATTGTAATGCATTATTTAAGCATTTGTCTAGAATTTCCAAACCCGTATACTCCTGGAATAAAAATCTAATAATAGATAATTATTTATGGTATTAAAGTCTGAACAAATTACATAGACATTTTTAGCCATCATATAAAAAGTCTTTATCAGTAAAACCGTTTCGTTAGAAGAAATGGCCCTCCTTCACATTTTTGTGCTGCAAAATTTTGCCAAAATTATTTTCGTCAACGAAATTAACACTGCCATACACACAGGGAAAATGACCATGGTCCAACCAATTACAGTGTATGAAACTTCAGGTCGGTGGGAAAGAAAGGTTTTGGACATTTTCCTAATCTTTTCTGCCAAGTATGTAATCCCATGAGCTATATCTCATTCTTTATATGAAGTTCACTAGATGTACCGTCAGGTGGATGTGAGCCTAAAAATGATGACCATCTTCCAAGATCTTCAGCCTCCCCCAACCTTATTACCCAAAAGGAACTCCAAAGATAATTCTCAACTTTCAGGGAACCCTTTCTAAAATCAAGTCATCAGGAGGGAATGGGAAAAGGCTCAAAGGCTCCTTACACTGGTTTGGTTTTAATTTAGTCTACGAAAATACTTTCGTCATGGTTTTCATCAGCTGCATGTTTTCAGTGACAAACTAAACGAAAACAAAATTAGAATTAAGTCAATTGACGAAAACTATGACAAAAATCAATTCCAATTTTCACCAACGAACGAAAATGTGAGCGAGGGACATTTACCCACCTGAACTTCCGCTTTCCTAAGAGTTCTGCCTCTCTGTTAAAGCCCATCCCCCTGAGACTCTAATGGACAATGCCCTGCAAACCACAGAAGAGGAACTTCTATGTCTGTCTGAATATGACGTGTTGATCGTTTCCTGTCCCAGCAAGTCGACTAAAATACCACTAAAACAATTCAGATGACTAAAATACAACTAAAACTAAAAAAAAGGCATTTTAGTCAAAAGACTAAAATTATATGAAAATTAACAGTGAGTTGACGGTCAGTAGGAACAATGCAACCCTTACAGTGATGGTGTGAATGGCACTATACAGCCAGTTAAAAAAAAATAATTGGATCATGCTGCTGGTTTTGCCAAGTAGCAATGGCGCTGCAACTATGCAGGCACCATTAGATTGGTGGTCAATCAGCCTTAGTTCAAGGCAGGGCTTGACAAATCCCAGGTGCCAGGTTGCCATGGCGACTAGAAATTGTGTTCTGGCACCTGAGTTCATACATTGCCTCCCACTGACTTTAATGCAAAAATCGCCTTCCCTTTGACTTCAATGCAAAAATGCCTCCCATTGACCTCAATGCAAAAACTCCTGTCAATAGCAATCCTATGTGAACAACAATTATCTCCGCATGCCACTCTACTCTATAGCCCCAGGTCTAGAATGCACCACTTCAAACTCTCACAAGTCCCTTTTCGTTATGGCAATCAAAACACAATGTGTGTGGATCACATCTGTGAACCACCTCAATAGGAACACATAAAATCCAGCGTGTCATGTGAATCTGTGAGTTTGTATTGCATATGTGTGAACCAGGGCGGCTGCATTCACACCTAGGCATTTTTGGATTGCGGCAGAATCGCTGTGATCACAAAATGCAGGTTCAGGTGCTTCATTTTCAACGGCAACTGAAACATGGTGGGGTTTTGCTGTGATTATCGTGCAGCAAATTGAATCGTGTGAAGCTTGTCGCCCAAAGGTTGCCTTGCCCCAGACACTGACAACCCACGCTATGCTAAAAAAACAAAAAAAAAAACTGGCTGCTAACTTTTTTAGCTGGCTCCTACATTCAAAGCAAATTTGTTAGGGCCTGGTTCAAGGAACCCCTAGCAACCTCTGGAGGAACCCTATAGTTCCATGAAACCCTCGTGGAGATTGGCTGGTCTATAGCAAATGTTTTCAGCTTAGCTCCAGCCTCACCTTACCTCTTTAGCTGATGTTTAGCTTTTTTTCTGGGGGTTAAAATGCAGTAAGTCAAAAATAACCCTTTTCTCATTGGTCAACGGAAAGAATGCAGCCGTTATAGTGGTAGTCAGAATGCCAACCTTACAGACATCCAATAATACAACTGGTGTTGTGCTGCTGACTTTGTCTAGTGGTGTTGGTCCTGGAAATACGCAGGCGCCATTAGAAGGGAAAATGTATTTATTTATTATAGGTACTTATATAGCACCGTCATTTTACGCAGCTCTTTACACATATATTATACATTCACATCAG